CTATATTTGATATATGCGTGACAAAAAAAAAAAAGAAACTTGCAGACATACCTTATATTTGCCTTTTTTTTCATGATGAAAAAATGTATCTCATGTACACACCAATATCCTCCTGAAGCTTTTGTGCTTGATGGAAAAATAAATAAGACTTGTGCAACTTGTTTAACTAATAAAGCTAAGACAAAGGCTGATAAAAAGACTATACCCAATCATAATCAAATTATTGAAACAATTCCATTAAATGATTTAAATGAATATATTATAGAGTTAATGGACAATCTTGAGAATAATATGGGTTTATCTTTTACAATACACGTTGATGTCAATATGTCTGATCAAAATTGCAGTATCAAGTTAATTGCCAATATGATCGTCAACAATATTGAAGAAGGTAATAGTTATTCTTGGGTGTAAGTATTAGAAAAAGTTAATAAGTTTTAAAAAAAAAAAAATTTTAATATATATAAATTTCTGAAGAGTTAAAACAGCACCTCATATGTCAACTTGTTATAAAAAAGTTGGCACTTTCTACTTTGGATGTTCTCAATCGAATGAACTAGCATGTGATTACAAAGAATTAAATTGTCCAAAAATGAAATATTTTAATTGTCATAGAACAATAATTATATATATTGATATGCCTGCGGCTAAGATGATAGTAAAACTTAAATACGAAATCCTTTATGAAAGATCAGTTGATGTTACAACACCAGAAGAAATCAAACAAGCAATTCAAGAAAATATTCACATGGATCCTGTACAACTTAGGACATATCTTTATAATAAGTTTGATATTTCAAAAATTACATTACAGCAAATTAGATATTGGTGGTTATTTTTTACTCAAAATTTTTATAAGTCTGATAATGATCATGTTAATTCAGCATATTCTTTTCTCAAATCAAGCCAAGCCACAGGTTGTGAACTTTGCTATGAGTTAATGACTAGTCAAATTACTGCAATTGAGTTCATTACACCCTTGTATGGCAAAATTAAACAAATGTCTGAAATTCATTGTAACACTACCTACAAAACTGCAAAAGGACAATTCGAATTGTATGGGCTTATTTGCAATGTT